TTTTTTTTTTTTTTTTTTTTTTTTTTTTTTTTTTTTTTTTTTTTTTTTTTTTTTTTTTTTTTTTTTTTTTTGTAGATTTTACATTGACGAAGTCCCCATCAGAGAAGTGGTGAGAAATGAAGTAATGGGTGGAGATTACCCTACAAAGCCAATGTCCTTGTACGCTACAATTTGGGACGCCAGCAATTGGGCAACTTCAGGAGGCAAATACAAAGTCAACTATAAATATGCACCCTTTGTTTCTGAATTCAAGGACCTTGTTTTGGATGGTTGTGCTTCTGATCCCATCCAGGAGGTTCTAGAAGCTTCTGACTGCACTGAGCATAACGCCCACCTCAACGTTCAAGACTATGTCACTGTGACACCCGAGCGCCGTGCCGCAATGCGCAACTTTCGCCAACATTTCATGTACTATTCGTACTGTTATGATATACTTCGATATCCTATCCCGCCACCAGAATGTGTCATTATCCCTTCCGAGCAGCGGCGTTTCAAGGACACTGGAAGGCTGAAGTTTGGGGGTAGCCATCGCCGTCGCTCGAAGAGGCGAGGCAGAAACCCAAGTGTTTCCACGGATAACCAATCTAGCATGTAACTCGTATTCACAGACTATAGAACATTCCTTTGTCTAATAACATTGTGTATTTTTGTCCAAAAGTACAATAAAATGAATCTATTGGTTTAATTTTTAATAATGTTTTAACTTTCGGTTCTGATCTTGATGTCTTGACAGGCAGTCTTATATTTTCATGTTCAAAGAGTAAGAATGAGAGTTTATCGCTTATTAATTAATTAATAAGCAATGATTTTGGGACATTGTGTTAAAAATGTTCCTTCAACAACTTAAGAGCAAAAACAAAGTTGAGATTTGAGCACCTTCGACTGAATGATCTAAGCCAAAAGGTATCAACTAATAATACAAATTGAACATAATAATTCTTGAAGCATATAATATAAACATGAAAATGGGTGAACATATACACTTTAGAAATAAAGTACGAATAACCTCTGCGAGTCCTTTAGTGTAAGAGATATGAAAGATCTATACATTCCCATGAGAGACCAAGTATTCGAAGTGCTTCGATGTCGATTGAAATGGCACGTGCTTAGGGTGGGATATAGGCTGGTAATTTAGCAGAATCCATCGAGACGTCGAGGAGAGAAAGAATTCGGTTTTATCTTACAGTACATGTACTAATTGAATGACAGTGTTGTCCTGTGGTATGCAAAACTATGTCCTAACCTGCATTGTGTAGAACAAGATGGAATGATAAATTGTACAAAAATCAAAGGCAAAATTCATCTTTAGGCAGTCTTTGTGATCTTGTGAGGGGTTTGGCTTGAGGAAAAGAATAAACTTCTAGGGAGGATGAGAGATCTAGTGACAAGGTTTGAAGTTGGTAAGGCTTAGTGTCTCTTTTATGAACTAGAGTCCCTTTGTGTAGCTTTTGAGACTTTTCCTAGTAGGCTTGTTTGTTCTATGTCCTGTGTTTTCTTTTTTGTTCTTCAATGAAAGTTCGGTTTCTTACCAAATCAAAAAAAAAAAAAAAAAA